TCTTTGAAAACAGAAGAAACAGGTTGGTGCAGGAGGCTGGCGAGGTGGCAAGGTGTCTCAGTGGGTGAAGGCCCTCGCCTGCAAGCCTGATGACCTATGCAAAGGTGGAAGGAGAAAACCAGCTCCACACACACATAACACGTACACCCACAATAGTAATAAATTAGAAAATAGTATGTATCTTTCTTTATGTATCTCATAAAGAAAACAAGCAAAAGAGAAAGGGGGAATCTATCACTCTCTTTGAACCCACAATGCTTTGGGACATAGTGGCACACGCCTTTAGTCCCTGGGCTCTGCAGGTAGAAGCAAGGAATCTGTGAGTTCAAGGCCAGCTTGGTCTATACAGCAAGTTCCAGGACACCCAGTGGTACATATTGAGCCTCTGTCAAAACGAAATCAAATGACTTCTTTGTTTGCGGCTTTAAGGGAGCCCCAGCTTCAGCAGCACCACCAAGCTGGGCTTCCCTACCTGTCCCACTATGCCAACCAAATAGACAGACGCGGTGAAAAGAGAGAAGAGAGACTTAACTGACGCGCTGGGAAGAAGGAACAAACTACGTTCAAATGGTGGAAGAACTAGTGAGCGAAAGGTTTGAGAGCTACGCAGCCTGGTGAAGGTGTGGTCCCATTCATCGCCTTAGCTCCAGTGCAGGAGGTAGGTGTTGATAAACTGCTAATCTGAACTAGTTTCCACAAAGTGATTATTTCTGCTCCAGCGGGCAGCTTGGCTCTTCTAAGCAACCATCCTCATCTGTGTGATAAAGAGGGGGAGGGGCTAATGCGTGCCTCTTCCGGAATCCAAAGTGACTGCAGGTTTAAGACAAGGGTTTATCTCTGCGCCTTCAGCTTTGCGGGACCCAGCGAAGAGCAAACAGTTTGTAACAAAGTAGCTTCTAAGTAACTGTTCTTCCCTTGGGTATGAACACTCCTTGGTCTTGAGAGAATCCAGGTACCTGTTAATCTGTCTTTTTAGGTTTCTTGGCCTGGTGATAAACTAGTACAAGAAAAGGGGACATGCTGTAATGGCTGCAGAATATATGCAAATAAAAAGTACTCATTACAGGCAGTGGAAACACTGAAAGGATTTCACTGCCTAGTTTTGTATGTCAAAAGTTTAAAGACATGAGGCAGGAACTACAGGGGGGATACAAAGTAAATAAAGTGTAATTAATAAGAAAGAGAGAAAGAAAGAAAGAAAGAAAGAAAGAAAGAAAGAAAGAAAGAAAGAAAGAAAGAAAGAAAGAAAGAAAGGAAGGAAGGAAGGAAGAAAGGAAGGAAGAAAGAAAGGAAGGAAGAAAGAGAAAGGAAGGAAGAAAGAAAGAAAGAAAGAAAGAAAGAAAGAAAGAAAGAAAGAAAGAAAGAAAGAAAGAAAGAAAATTTAGGGACAGCCAGAGGGTGGTAGCACACACCTTTAATCCCAGCACTTGGGAGGCAGAGGCAGGTAGATCTCTGGATTCCAGGCCAGCCTGGTCTACAGTGTGAGCTCCAGGACAGCCAGGTCTGCCTGGAAAACAAACAAACAAATGAAAAAAAGAAAAGAAAATGAAAAAAGAAAACCTAGTTGCTTTAGATACAGAGCATGACATTCTGGCTTTACATTAGTGCGCTGTTAACACACACACACAAACACACACACACACACACACACACAAAATGGGGTTCCCACTGCAAAGGGAGTAAAAGATTGTTTACTCTAGAGCCAAATGTGAGTGAATACTGCACAGGAATGCTATGACCACATTGCCTCAAGTACCATGTTCCAATATGATGACAATTTCATAGTGACACAAGCAAGAAAAAGAAACTAATTACCACACTTCCAATGCATTGTTGGGTAGTTGATAGGGGTGTCACAGCAAAGCAGGAAAATCCCACTATGGCCAGATTGGTTGAGGCCTGTCTGCCCATTCCTAAGGGAGTCTAAAATGCCTCAACACTGCAGCTCCTGATAACCACTCAAGATACATATAAATTCTGTATACAATGTTCTGCCTGCATGTACACCTACACACCAGAAGAGGGCACCAGATCTCACTATAGGTGGTTGTGAGCCACCATGTGATTGCTGGGAATTGAACTCAAGACCTTTGGAAGAGCAGCCAGTGCTCTTAACCTCTGAGCCATCTCTCTATCCTGACCACTCAAGTTCTAAACCAGTCAGCCTTGTTGAATGTTTTTTTTTTTTTTTTTTTTTTTTTTTTTTGCTTTGGTAGTTTTGCTTTTTATTTTTGGCCTCACATTCTAGGCAAATACTATAACACTGGGCATTCCCTGCCCAGGCATGGCTTTTTTTTTTTTTTTTTTTTTTTCCTTTCTGGAACGTCAGTTAATGGTCTTTAAAAGAAAACAAAAAACAAAGCAACCCCCTCCCACCCCATGACAGGGTTTCTCTATGTAATAGCCCTGGCTCTCCTGGAAACTGATTTGCAGACCAGGCTGGCCTTGAACTCATAGAGATACACCTTCCTGTGTGTCACCATGGCTGGTTATAAAAAAAACTTTTTTGAAATATCTATTTCATTCGTTTTTATGTGAGTGTATGTTGACAAGGTCCTTTGCCCCAGCCCTGAGGGGTGTGGGGTGGCTCAAGGGGTAGCTAGCCAGCTTACATGCACCACGCATCTAAGCTGCTGTCGTTCACAACCCAGAAACGGGGTAGATTCTTACATAAATCCCTCATGAGACTGTCGCTAGTCATTAGAATTTCAAACTTCACAAGACAATCACCATAGACTAACAGCCCAATACATAAAATGACATAAAACAGAGTGTAGCTGGGCTCAGTGGCGCAAGCCTGTAATCCCAGCACCCAGGGAAGCAGAGGCAGGTGGATCTCTGTGAGTTGGAGGCCATCCTGGTCTACAAAGGGAGTCCAGAATAGCCAAGTCTACACAGAGAAACCTTGTATCAACCCCCCCAAACAAAACAAAACGAAACAAAACAAAGAGAGCCCAGAATGGTGGCTTGGTGACCAACAGCCAGGCCCGGAGTTCATTCCCAGCACCCACATGGTGGCTCACAACCATCTATGACCCTACAGCCACAGACCAGATGACTGCCTGTGCTGTGTAGACAGCTGTACATCCATACACGTAAAACAAGAAACACAAAGGACGCTCATTCCCCAGAGGGCGCTGCCAGGGTGCGGACTTCCTGCTTTGTGTAAATTACAGCAGCGCTACCACCTGCCCAGGTGGGAGTAAGTACCAAGTTTCTGAGTAAGTACCGTGAATTCCTTCCTTGCTACATTCTGTAGAAAACTACAGATCCAAGCTTCCCTGGTCTTAGCTCAGATCATTCAAATGAACCCTGATTTGATCAAAAGAGCCCAGAGACAAGGCTTGTTAGACAAACAGCAGATACTCAAATAGTTCAAAAGAGCCCCAGAGCAAAAAAGCCTTCAAAGACAGTATTTCAGGGCAAATGGCAGGTGTCCAAGCAGCTCAAAAGCACCTCCTTACTGACCTGGAACAGCAAGGGCCATGCTGGAAGTTAGAGCACTTAGTAAGAGTCAGTCTCTAGAGATCATGAAGTACAAACATTTGTTTCTCTGCTTCATCAAAAGATAGAAGGCAGTGATTTTTGGCCAACGTAGAAAGAAAAGAAAAAGATCCCTATAAGTGATCCCAACATCTGCATGAGGCCATTCAATCTTTGCCGTTCACTTAGGGTTACCTGTTACTAACAGCAGATGCCCCGGTGTGCTCATCCAAGCTGTGAGCCTCAGCTCCCGTGGCCCTGAGGAGTCAGCCTTACTCACTCAATCCCATGTAACCATGCGGGAAAGGAGACTCCATCATTCTGGGGGAGAAAGAACACACAAAGGGAGCCAGTAACTCCAAGTTCATCTCCAGGACACGGATCCAAGCTTAGCTCTAAGCAAAGCCGACCAGAGGCAGGAAGATATATGAAGAACTAAGAGTCCTGGTCTTGAGTGGCCTGTCCATCACTGTCTCAGCTCCAGTCCAGCAAGGCGGTTGACAAGCCGCTGATCTGCTCTTTTGTTGTTGTTAATCGTTATGTCTGCAACGGATGTGGCACTGCCCTCATCCGATCTGGTGTGTGTGTGTGTGGGGTCATCTGACCTGGTGTGTATGTGTGTGTGGGTTGGGGGGAGTCTGTCTTCAAAGGCTCCCTTCTCCCTGGAACCCAAGGTGACTGATGGCAGCGTTGGGACAATGACGCAGCTCTGCAGCTTTGGCCTTGTGAGTCAACGTTGTGCAGCACGGGCAGCGTCTGAGCGTCTACTGCACCTGACTTGGCCTGCAGCAGGAGGGAATGCGCGCCAGATCCAGGTCAAGGCCTTAAGATGCCTGGCAGCTTTGTTTCTATCCTTTTAAGAGCAAGCCACCCTGTAAAGGCGCTCCAGCTAGATTAACAGTGGACAAAAGGACATCTGGAGAGAAAAGGTGCCGTGGAAAAGAACCACTGTATCTCATCCAACAGGAGGCAGAAGCCGAGACACCTGTCACTCTGGACCTCCCCGATGGATGCAGTTGAGTGAGTCAGAGGACACGAGAAATAATACAATTTTCCTGCTTTTGAGTAGCTGTTTTAAGTTGGAAAGTTTTGGCGTTGTAATGGAAAAGGATTTACACGCACGTGGAAAGAAGCATGCAGGCAGCATAGATTCACCAAAAAGTGAGACTGACTAATCTGGATGAAAGTTCTTTAGAAAACACCTTCTAGCCGGGTGATGGTGGTACATGTCTTTAATCCCAGCACTTGGGAGGCAGAGGCAGGTGGATCTGAGTTTAAGACCAAGCTGGTCTACAGAGTGAGTTCCTGGACAGCCAGGGCTACTTAAAAAAAAAAAAAGTCTCAGTATGTGGTCTCTGCTGGCCTAGAACTCACTGTGCAGCCAACCTGGCGGTGAATCCACCCCCTGCTTCTGCTCTCTCCAGTGCTGACAGGACGGGTGTGAGCCACAGTAAACACACTGAGTAAGTTCAACCAGCAACGAAGGACAGAACATGTGTGCACTCTCACACACAGCCCAAATACCTAAAGGTTTATTTTATAACGAGAAATCCACAGCTAGGTAGTCTGTGGCAATACGGCATTATAAAAATATCTCTTGCATTCTAAAAGACTGCAACTTTTGCTCGATTTCACAGCCAGATTAGTAATTTGCCTTGAGGCATGTTCCGCTTCGTGCTCAGCCAGTTTAACCTGGCAAACTCTCTTGCCTTGGATCTCCCATATAATCATTTCTCATAACCGGAATCTTCTGTTATACACTCTTCCATGCTCTGATCCACGGGTAATGTCCCATTCGTGGATAGTGTGTGTGTGTGTGTGTGTGTGTGTGTGTGTGTGTGTGTGCATGCGAGTGCACATGAGTGCACGCACGTGATGGTAATAAATGCTGAAAACAGCAACAGGCAGAGAGAACTTTAAAAAACCAGTGTCCACCACAATGCTGAAACAGCACATAGATGTTGCCTGATAAAAGTTATCTCAGTCAGTGACTCCTGTGAAGGGCCTTCATTCCTTTCCCTTGTGACGCTTTCTGTGCTGGTCAATGAGAGAGAGAGAGCAAAGCACTTTCTCAGAAACCAGCACGGGCACGCAGACTCGGGACAGCAGCAGCAAGCAGAGTTGGACTCATGACAGAGGATAACACAAGACAGGAGGAGGAGAGCAATCAATTCAAATCTGGGCTTCTCGTGGTTACAGGACACCACGGTGAAACACTCTGGTTCTTTTCACTGACTGGTGACTCTGAGTTTATTATTAACGTCCGCAAGCCAATGAAGCAGCCTGTGGCTTCTACAGCTCCACAGCATCACAGGGACCCACATTCTGTCTTCCTCCATCTCTAGCATATCACTTAAGGTGGCTTCATTGTCATGGCTGTCATTGTACCACATTCTAGGCAAGGAAAAGAAGAGATACGTCTGTTAGAAACTTTTTTCCTTTTTGTTGTTTGTTTTTGAGACAAGGTCTCATTATGTAGCCCTGGCTGGCCTGAGACTTACAGAGATCCCCCTGCCTCTGCCTCCCTCCTAAGTGCTGACCACCCCCCCCCCCCCCCCCCCCCCCAAATGCCGACCCCCCCCCCCCCCCGGCCCTGGACAAACTCTGAGAAGCCCCCAAACACCTTCCAATAAGCCCTCATCAGTACTTTGTCACATGGACACGTCTAATGCAGCTGGAATGGAGCCTGGAACCCTGCTCCCTCAAGATCAGTTCTGTTATTAAGGAAGAGTGAGGAACAATCAGTGTTTGTGTGTGGGGCTGCATGCAAACACGTGAGCACATATGCACAGGCGTGTGGAGGCCGGGGTCCACGGAGGGCCAGCCACGCGCCACCTTGTTTTTTGTTAAGATTTTTTGGTTTCTTTTATATATTTGAATGTTCTATCTGCATGTACACCTGCATGGCAGAAGAGGGCAGCAGATCTCACTATAGATGGTTGTGAGCCACCATGTGGGTGCTGGGAGTTGAACTCAGGCCCTGTGGAAGAGCAGACAGTGCTCTTAACCTCTGAGCCATCTCTCCAGCCCTAATATATTTTTAATGTTTGTTTTTATCTTACATGCATTGACACTGTGTGAGAGTGTCAGATCCCCTGGAACTGGAGTTATAGCTGCCATGTGGGTGCTAGGAATCGAACCCAGGTCCTTTGGAAGAGCAGCCAGTGCTCTTAACCACTGAGCCATCTCTCCAGTTCATACTCTACCTTATTTTTCGTTTTGTTTTGTTTTTTTCTCTTTTGTCTTTGAGGCAGGATCTCTCTACATAGCCCTGGCTGTCCTGGAACTCATTCTGTAGACCAGGCTGGCCTTAAAAGTCTGAGATCCACTTGCCTCTGCCTCCCAAGCGCTGGGATTAGAGGTGTAGGCCACTGCAACTGTCCTCTCCATTTTCATTTTTTTGATTCTGTGTTTGCATGTGCCACTGTGTGGGTGTATGCACATGGATGTGGATGCCCCTGGAGGCCAAGGCAGCGGGTGCCCCCGAGCTGAAGGTAGCAGGCGGTTGTGAGCCACCTGATACAGGTGTGGGGAACTGAACACAGGTGTTCTTAACCACTGAGCCGTTCCTCCAGCCGACCACCTTATTTTTCCAGGCACGGTCTCTCACAGAACCTGCAGTTGGTAAATTCCGTCCGTATGGCTGCCCAGGGAGGAGCAGGGTTCTTCTCCCCCACTTCCTGCTTTCACACTGGGTTCCAGATGCTCCAGGGCCCATGGGGTTACTGCGTATCACACTTGGGTCCTCAGCTTGTGCAGCAGACTTGGCCGCTGAGCAGCCCCCTGGGCAGCGTGCTGTACTTCACCTGTACTGTGTTTGATATTGTTTTAAACATGATTCAGGGTGTGTGTGCAAACTGCGAAGAACTCCCGGGACACAGCTTTTGTGGGACTTCCCCGTGTGAGGGTGACCTTGTCAGCTAGGCAGCCGCTTCAGTTTACCAGCCTTCGGAGCACCTAGCAGAAGCGGCTCCTGGCAACAGGGAATGAAAGGGGAAGACAAGGCTGAGATTTCCTTGTACTAGGCCACACCTCCTAAAAGTTCCACTACCACTCAGCAGTGCCACTGCCTGGGGATTCAGCCTTCACTGTGGCTGTCTGGCGGACATTTCCTATCTAAGCTCCTGCTTTCCAGCTGGGAGGAAGGTGCTCAGAGCTCCTGTCCAGGGGATAGCTGGAGCAAGCTCTTCCTTTCCCAACTCGTCCTTCCCAGCCTCCTTCAGAACTGAGCCTGGTTCTGAGCAACAGGATATAAAAAAGATGTCATCTCAGAGGGGAGGTTTCTCCTAATGTGTTCCCTCCCTGTCAGTGACTGCTCTTGCAACGGACCCATTTCACCACCACCTCCATTTACTTTGAGAAACAGAAACTCACTATACTGCCTAAGCTCCTCTCAAATTTATCCTCCTCCCTCAGCCTTCTAAGAAACAGAGATTAGAAGTTTATACCAAGCTGGGCAGTGGTGGTGCAAGCCTTAATCTGAGCACTTGGGTGGCAGAGGCAGGTGATTTCCAACTTCGGGGCCAGCCTGGTCTACAGAGCCAGTTTCAGGACCGCCAGGACTCCATAGTTGCCATGTATTTGCTTATTTATTTGCATGCTTTACCTGCGTGTTTGTGCACCAAGTGCCTGCCTCATGCTCTTGGAGGTCAGAAGGCACCAGATCTGGAATTAGAATTAGAGACAGTCATGAGCCACTGTGTGAATGCTGGGAATTGAACTATTTTATTTGGTCTCTTATAGCTACCTCCCTGCTCCACCCCAATCCCTTCCAACACCCAAGACCAGGTAGAAGAGACAAAGTTAGGGAGGAGACAGTGAGATCTTTCTGACTACTTCCTGCTGAGGATGGGCACTGAATTCCTTTGGGGCAAGTCCAATCTTTGCCCAGTCAGGTTATCTCCAATTTCTTTTTATCCTTTCTTTTCTCAAGACCACCTGACAAACCAGCAGGAGCAGGAACCAGCAGGAGGACAGCCACCCTCCTCTCTTGGGGCTCTGGTCTTTTATACCTTCTCCAGAGTCCCCAGAATTCCAGAAGTAAACTATCTTCAGCTGGGAGAATCAGGCCTGCCAGAGCACAAGGCAAATAGTTGTCTGACCCAACACTCTGAAGCAGCCCATATCCCACTCCAGGGATTAACATGAAAACATATTCACACAATATAACTGGGGTTTTAAAGACACCAAAATTCTCACTACATAATTGTGAATATGAAAATAAAATCATTGGCTGTTTTAGTTAAAAAAAAACAACAAGTCATTTAATGCCAGCATTTGGGAAGCAGAGAAGGTAGATCTCTTGAGTTTGAGGCCAGCCTGGTCTCTAGGACAGCCGAGGCTACACAGAGAAACCCTGTCTCAAAAAACAAAACAAAAGTCACCTAAGGGACACTCGATGTTTCTCCCTCAGTGGTCACCTAAGGGACTGGCAATGTGGTACGGTGCTTGTTGCCCTAGCAGGCACACCGCCCTGGGTTCAATCCCCAGCACTACATAAAGTATCTATGGTGCTTTGCACCTTGAATCTCAGCACTAGAAAAGTGCAGGGGTGATCAGCACTTTAGTACCATTCTCGGCTACACAGGGAGTCTAAGGCCAGACTGGGCTAGAGGTCCTGTCTCCAAGAGTGAAAGTCAATGAAGCTGAGAACGCTAGCTCATACCTGGAATCCCAACGCTTGGAAGTTTGAGGTGCAGGAATGTCAACAGGGCTAGCCTGGGCTATGTAGTGAGTTCTAGTGGTGGAGCGCGTGCCCAGCATGCACCAGTCGCTGGGATCAAGTCATAGACCCACCCTCAAGAGAGGGTTGGACCCCTGGGTCTCACAAGGTAGAAGAGACAGCTAATTACATTCATTCATTCATTCATTCATTCATTCATTCATTCATTATGTATACAGTGTTCTGTCTGCATGTATGCATACATGTCAGAAGAGGGCACCAGATCTCATTATAGGTGATTGTGAGCCACCATGTGGTTGCTGGGACTTGAACTCAGGACCTTTGGAAGAACAGCCAGTGCTCTTAGCCTCTGAGCCATCTCTCCAGCCCGAGACAGCTAATTCCTAGATTATCCTATGACTCCCATGTGCTCTGTGGCATGCCACACACAGACGAATAAATATAACAAACAATTCTTTGAAAGTCTGTTTTGGATACAAGACGGTCCAGAGGGCCAAGGGTCTGCCTCCAGCCTGATTGCCTGGATTCCATCCTTGGAACAAGTAGGAGAGCTGACTCTCACAGTTGCTCTCTAACTCCCACTGTGAACGCAGCATTCGCACACGTACCCTTCGTACCCTTCCCTGTTAGACACAAGCACAATAATTAAATTTTAAATAAAAAGTTGCCCGACATGGTGGCAGATGCCTCTAATCTCAGTACTGGAGAGGCAGAGGCAGGCAGATCTCTGGGAGTTCGAGACCAGCCTGGCCTACATGGTAAGTTTCAGGCCAGCCAACACAACAACACAGTGAGGCTCTATTTCAAACAATCAAACAAAAAAAAGAATGAGGTTCAATGTCATTCTTTCTAAGTGAATTTCAGAGCAAACTGGAATACTTGAGACCAAAACCAGAAGGCCAGAAAGACAGAAAGATCTGTAACCGCCACATCAAAAGCTCTTTCAGCCAGGCGGGGTGGTAGGTATCTGTAATCCTTGCATTTGGGAGGTAGAGACAGGCCATCAGGAGGAATTCCGGAGGAACTCGAAGGCAAGGTGAATTTGAGGTAGCCTGGGTTATATGAAACACTGTCTCTAAACCAAACCAAACAACCTTCTTTTGACAAGGAAATGAGAGCCCTCAGCCTGATTGACAAATTACATGGTTTAGACGTTAGTGTGTGTACATGGCACCCAGGTGAGCACCTGGACTGTGAGCATGGGTGGGTGTGAAGGCCAGAGAGCAACTCTCGGGGTTTTGTTTTAAATTCATCACATTTTCTTATGTGTGGATGTGTTTTTGCTTCTTTCTTTGTTTTGGATACTTGTTTGCACTGACCTGGAGCTAGCTCCTCCCGCTAGCCACTAAGCCTCAGGGGTCCCAGCAGCACTGGCAATACAAGCACAAGCCGCCATGACCGTTTTTTGTTGTTTTTTTACTTGTTTGTTCTTCCCCTTTCGGTTCTGGGGAGCCAAACTCAGGTCCTAACTGAGCTATTTTCTCAGTTCAGATTTCCTCTTTGAAACAACGTAATTCCAAAAGCTCCCAATTTACCTCCATCGCTGCTGTTGAAGCGCTTCCCGGATGTCACATTTCTAGCACTACGGCCCTGCCTCACTCTCAGGCGTTCTTTCTCCTAATGAATTAACCGGCTAAGGCATTCCTTTCACTCTTGGAGCGCTGTTGGGCTGCGCTACGTCAAGAATCCCAGGGCACCTGACTAGGGCCCCCCAGGCTCTGAAGGGGCGTCCTCAGGCTGCACAGCCGCCTCGGCCAGGACGACATCTTGAATAGCCGAGCACAGCAATCTGTTTCTGTGAGCGCAACTTCGAAGCCACGCGTTGGCCCTAACTACCTTATGAACAGCAGTTTTGTGGTCCTGGAATAAATGCGGGGGTAGTTTATTTATTATAATCTGGTCAAGCAATCCCTTCAGAAAACTCACATACCACAAGCAACCCCTGTTCTCAAGTAATCTTCAGTGAGACCTTTTCCTTCCGTTTTTCCTCGCTTGTTCAACTTAGCTACCATTTGGAATGTTTTAGAAATCTTTTGAGAGGGCCCTTACTCACGGTCGGGGCCTAGGCTGCCGTACTTTAACAAGCTCAAATCCCATGCTCCAGCACTTGGTACGCTGGTCTCGAGACCGAGCCACGGCAGGACAGCAAGCACAGCTATCCGCCTTTACAAAGGCTTTCACGTTAGCGTAAGTGCGCAACACACGGCTTTAAAGGAAGCTCAGGGAAGGCAAAACTCGCTCGTCAAGCGTGGCCACGTTGGCTACAACCGGCTGAGCTACCCGGACCACCGGTTTCCGCCTTTCGAGGTGCTTCACCTTGAGAGCTGCGGGCCTCCCGAGGCCCAGCGTTCGCCCCCAGGGAGCGAGTCTCCCCCGGGCACACGGCCGTCCTCCTGCGGCGGAGCCCGCTCCCGCCCCGCATTGCAGCGCCGCGCCCAGTCCGCAGCAGCGGCCCCGCCCCGCGGGCCCGCGCAGGGAGGGGGCTGCGCGCCGAGCCCGCCTCTGCGGCGACCAGCCGGGCGCCCAATGGACGCGGCGGGCAGGGGGAGGGACCGTGGCCAGGCCGCGGCCGCCCCTCCCCAGCTGCTACTTAAGAGGCTCCTGCGCCGCCGCCTCCGCCTCATTGCGTTACTTACCTCGACTCTTAGCTGTCGGGAACGGTAACCGGGACCCGGTGTCTGCTTCTTCCTACCCTCGCCTTCTAACTCGTAGCTACCATGGTGAGTGGGCCGGGTGCGGGGTGGGGGGTGCGGGATGGAGATGCGGAGGGAGCACGCTGGGGGCTGGGACGGGGAGGATGCGCGGGCGGGAGAGCGAGGGGCCAGGGCTGCCGGGGAAGCTCAGGGGTCTGGGGGAGAGGGCTCTCCCGGGTCGCCCCGGCCTCGCTCTCCAACCATCCACACCCTGCAGAAGACCTACAGCATGGCGCTTTCAGACTGCAGTCTTCCCGCGTGGGCCCTTCCCCCATCCTTCCCTGGCTCTCTGCATTTCGGGCGCGCGCGCAGCCCGGCCCCGCCCTCACTTCCTCTTGAGTGTGAAAAGGCGGGGGCGGGAAGGCTCCGGAGACAAAAGACGCATGCGCGACCGTTGCATTCCCGCCTAAGAGCGGCGGGAAGAGCCTCTGCAATGCGCGCGTGCGCGCTGAGGCACTGCGGGCTTAGTTCGTTTAGGGTGTGTCTCCAGTTGGCCCGTGTTGTGGGGGCTGAGGGTCAAACCTAGGACCTCCCATCGTAAGCCAGCTCTGCTGTCCAGCTGCAAACGCAGCTGCCACCTTCCTTTCGCTTAGGAAAAGGATAAGGAACATGGCTAAGTTTTCTCAAATATTCCACAAATCGGGACGTCCCAACAGCGTGGAGTCCAACTAGCTCCAGTTACGAATTTTTGTGGGGCCAAACTGTGACATTGAAGGGTTTTAAGGGAACAGTAATCGGATCCGGGCGGTTGATAAGCCCTTGCTGGGCTAAGACGGAAGTGGAGGAGCTGAGCCCTTACGCCTGCAAATAGAGGAAGTCAAAACCCTCCTCGCCGCTCAGGCCGCATGCTCTCATGCTGTGCATTTACCTCGTTGCCCCTTGTCCCTGCAGCTAGACCTGCCTCAATGCTCCGGCCACGTGCCTCCTGTCCAGATTGCCTGGAAATCTGTACATCCAAAGCAAAAGTAGAACTCGGGGCTGATGAGACGCCGGTTTTCAAAAAGAGAAAGCTGTGACTGCTCCTAGATTTGGAAAATGCCCAAATTAGCTATAATGCCACTGAACTCCAGCTCCTTGAGACGCTGCTAATCGATTCTCCTCCTTTCCGCAGCGTGAGTGCATCTCCATCCACGTTGGCCAGGCTGGTGTCCAGATCGGCAATGCCTGCTGGGAGCTCTACTGCCTGGAACATGGCATCCAGCCTGACGGCCAGATGCCAAGCGACAAGACCATTGGGGGAGGGGACGACTCCTTCAACACCTTCTTCAGCGAGACGGGCGCTGGCAAGC